GGCTATGAAATCAACCCCACAACTGGCCCTGGAAACCATTTTAAACTTGCCAAAGCTGGAGAACTATATCACAGCCGAGGCAAGGAACACGGCGTTCAGACTGAAACATATAATTCGGCTGAACCCGTACAGACCACCTTGTCATGATGACGCGCTGAGAGATCTGATAATCCTATATCCAAATCTCAGCAGCCCCATTGACCACACAAAAATTACATACAATTTCAACAGGAATTTTGAAGTAATCGCAAGCAACAGAACAGACTGGCAACAGAGCTTCGCAGCAATGACATCGCAATCACAATGCGTTTGCTACACCGATGCGTCTGTAAAAGAGTCTAGCAGTGGTTATGCGATATTTTTTCATCCTCAAAATTCTTACTTCACTGGCCACTTAGCCGGATCAATTTGCGTCAAGCAAGTCGAGCTAACAGCAATCTATAGATGCTGCCAAATTCTTAGGAATACACGGACCCAAGGCCAAATAACCATTTGTACGGACAGCCTAGATGCTTTAACAGCACTAAAGGAACCATCCACAAATAGCCTTTTTGTCGCCGAATGCTGGAAAATATTAAATGAGATTGGCTCGACGAACCAATTGAAACTAATTTGGATACCAGCACACTCTAATATTCCGGGCAATGAAATGGCGGACAGCCTGGCAAGGCAAGCCACTAATAGCATCGCAAATCCGGATTTCATGCTACCATTGAATACATCCGAATGCAGGAAGTCGAATGACTCATGGCAAAAGGAAACAATTCAACGAATATGGCAAGCAACAAACATCTGTAGGCAAACGAAACTATTTTTCACGCGCCCACAATCCGACATATCAAAATACCTTCTCACACTACCCAAAGCGACATTAAAGAAAGCAATAGGTATTCTCACTGGTCACTGCCGTCTTAACTATCACAATCACAAGCGACGTCTGAGAGATGATCCAGACTGTGACTTATGCGGCAGAGCACCAGAAACGGCAGCTCACATCATATGCGAATGTGAACGCCTATCCCGATTCAGAATTGAAATATTCAACAAACACGCATTTCAACCATGCGAAATGAATAAAAACTTCTTGCAAAAGATTCTCGAATTTTATAACAAAGTAAGTACAGCGATTCCCCGCCTAGCTCATGCTTTCTAAACTCTCCTCTAAACAGCCAAAACAAAACTCCACTGCCCCAAGGACAGCGTGACAATCGGGCCGCTCGCAAAACACCAATAGGCCTACGCGACGAATCATTCCGATTCCCCGAATTTATCCAAAATCCAAAATCCAAAGCATTATGTCATGTTTTTGTCAACAAAATGTTGGCAACTCCATCGGAATTATATTTCGTCGCTTGAAGTCATTTTTATGCGGCAAATTCAATCTCTTACTCTACTACTTAAAACAAACGCTCCGAACATCTCAAACAAGTGAAGCAATTCATCTCTGTAAATAAATGGAGAGAGGTATTCAGCGAACGACTACACTATCGTCACTGCGGTGTTTGTGTGTATATACTTTCAATGCGCCATTCAGATGTGTGCAGGCGAATTGTTTGTCAAAGCCAGTGCGCAATACACTCATAAGGCGTGTTTGATACACACACAGTTCGAAAGAAGGAACAAAAGGCATAAATGAAAAAAGAGAACATCAATGCCGCTGGAATTTAAAGCAATAAAGCATATGAGAAAATGAGACGAAGAAACATAACGGCATTTTATTGCCAGTGCTAACCAATGCACATGCACACACAAGGTCATGTTTTGCATCTAACAGTCGAAACTCGCTTGCAATTGAATTGTCACTAAATATATATTCATAGGCGTCCCCATTACATAATGGTATAGAAAAATGTCACGAAAGTTGAGTTTGACTCTTAGTATACGTGTATTGGTGCTGTCATTGTGACATAGCCAATATTTTGAAAAAATCTCTATCGTACTTTACAAATCGTCAATAAATATGACAAAAAATGACGTATGCTTCCTAATATAAATACATGTAGAGAGCGTACGTCATTATTACAATGACGAGTACAAGACGTGCGAATGGCCTGCAAACGCTCACCGTTTTGTTGTATAGAATTCACATCGTGAATTTTACATTAAGATTAAATTTAAATTTGAAGTTATTGTGAGTGGGAAGCTGTTTACAATTTAAATATTGGTACAACGCTTATTTTTGCGACACCGAGAACCGTAATATGGCCGCTGTGCGCTAAAAATAGAAAATTTCATACAGCTCACAATGTTTTTTTTAAATTTTGACTTACTCATTATCCTGTTCACTTTCTGCGAAAAACAATTATCGATAAACTCAATTAATATATTGAAAAAATAAACAGAGAGTGCATATTCGCTGTTGAGCAGAATGAGCTCTGCTGAATATGCTGAGTGGGCGTCTGAAGCAGTTTTAACGCACTTACAGTGAAAAATTTATATTGCAAAGGATCTCAGCTAGCAATGAAAAATTTCAACCATCTCAAGTAAATCCTATACGCTGTTTGACCGAGTCACTCGCGCCGTGCGGTATTGCTGCTATAGAGTGAGCAGCGCACGGCTATGTTCACACAACAAAAAATCGTAGTAGCCTCACACATACACACCCAAACGTATGAACGCATGGTTATAGTGAAGCACGTCGTATACGTTGTTTGTTGTATGAACTTGAACACAGCCGCACGCTGCTTCTTTTATAGCAGCAATGCCGAACGGCGCGAGTGACCCGATTAAATAGCGCATAGGATTTACTTGAGATGATTGCGTTAAAATAATGATTCATGCACCTGAATCAGCAAATTCATATCAGCTAAGTCCTACTCAACAACCGAAATATACTCTTGAAAATAAATGAAGTCTGAATATGAACATTGCTTTGGATTCGATAAGAAATTTTTTTGCCCATTATATCTTTTGTCTAAAAATATTGAATTTAACGTATGTGTACCTGCAGGTAATCCGTTGAAAACTGCCATAAACAGCACCATTGCAAATAATCTCACCATTTTTGGAATTTCGTATCAAAATTTCAAAATCAAAGCTAGCCTCTAATTATAAAAACAAAGTAGACCAAAAGTATTAAAAATAATAATAAACATTTGTTAACTCCTTAATTGCCGATGGCCAGCTTTCTGGCCAGTCAATTTTTCGAATTGAGCTCATAACTTTTCATGAAAACATATTTTGTTTGATAAGAAGAAGTTTTTTTGTGTTTGTAGCTTTCATTATATGCATATTTATATTTAATTTAATAAAATGTTCAACTTGAAAACCCTTTCTGAAAAAAATCTTCAAAAATGGCTGGCAGTTAACAAAATGGAATTTGTTGAACTCTATCTAGAATTTAGACGGCAGCATATCTAATCAACATCATCTTCACAGTCAATTTTTTCGTGAATATTCATTGAACACTATTCACTATTCAGATCTCTACAGTATAGTCATGTGTAAAATCTGCAAGTCTACATTCATTCACATTTTAACGGATTTTTCTTCTTTTTATTACTTTCTTTTTCGATGATAAATGAGTATCTGAATGAAGTCACAAAACTTGTTCCACAATGTACAAATGCATGAAATTTGAACTTCACATTGTGAAGTTCAGGGAAAAATGTTCATCGAATCTCTCTTCGATTTCTTTTCTAAAAAATGATATTGTTTAAAGGGAAAAAGATGAGCTGAGACGACATGCCACAAAAGTATGATATCTGAGAGCAATATATATGTTGCATAAAGTACATAAAGTGCATCTAGCCCTTGGCAGTGAATGCCATAGTTCAATATATTCTTTCAAATTAAAAACAGCTTAACTATACTAAATAAAAAAAGTAAACACAACATGATTGTTTGGAACACGCTTAAAAATAAAGTATGATAGAGTTTCTGGCGGTGACATACAATGTATTCGCTCGCACTAAAGACAGCTAGTATGTGAACGAGGTTGGACAGCAGTTAGTGCGAGAGGGACAGAATTTGACACCGCCAACACTTTGCAAAAATCTCAGGCGTTCTTTAAAAAATTACTCCTTGTATTTGTTCGTTCAATCCAAATTCATTGGTTAATTCGGTAATGAGTTTTTTGTGTTCGAATATTTAAATCACAATTTTGAATGTACCAAATAATAGTTACGGTTAGTGATCGAAATAAAAAAAACAGATGACTTAAAAGAAAACAATGATTGACCAACATATAACCGATTTCAAGATATTTCTCGGAGAAACTAAAATTGTCCACTGATCCAAATCAATTTCGATTTCATACTGAAACGATCACTATATTTTCCCTTCAAAGGGTTACAAATTCTATTTACAGAACAATGCTATGCTTATCGAGTGAAATTCCATAATGCTGACATTCCCACCGTTCACGATTGTTTATTTTTAGCTGGGGTTTTTGAGTTTGCATGATTCTGGTTTTCTCCAATTTGAATTTTTTCATCATACTTTCTTTGAAATCAAGCATCCTTCGTTTCAACTCGTACAAAATAATGAAGTTATTTGCGATCATTTTTCCACGCAAATTATAATTAATCTTGGTCTTACATTCATGATATTATGATTAGTCACGATATTACACATAAAATAGTTTAGTTATTACCGTATATGCAGAAATAGAAACCATTTGTGAACAGAAACGTTATACAGCACAAAATATCTTCTGAAGGATTCGCTTAATTTTTATATGCCATTTGAAAAAAAATGAGCATTGTTGCGGGAGTGCTTCAGAGGGTAGCGCCTACCTACACGCCAAAGACGAATTTGTGACCATCTTACATATGAATGCGTATTTATGGGTATTCAGAGTTGCCCCACTGTATGATCCACTCACACAAATAAACGATATACACAGAGACTTGGTCTGTGTATACGTGCGTAAAACGAGTAGTGATACAAAGCATTCGTTTGGACATTTACAAATCGTAGAAATAACTTCGCAAAGTATAAAATTCAAACTTTTCTGCAGCAAATGAAAGATTCTATCAGAGGTTCATATCATTGTTTCATATTTATTGAAAAATTGTAATATTTTTGTGTGAATTAGAGAAGCGCTATTTGGTCTCCACACGAAATCCATGTGATTGAACAGTTCACCAATTTCTTGGTTGAAAATATCTTCGCTTTTTTTATTTCAATAATAATTCTCGAACACCCTTCGCATTCGCTAGTTGATCGGCCATCGAATAAGGAACACTGATCGGCACAGTGATCCAATGAAGTGGAATATCCTCCAGCATAACCCAAACTGTATTCGAATTCTTCATGAACAGCCGTCTGTTTCCACAGCTGCTTTGATTTACCCTATGTTTTATTGTGTTTGTCCAATCGGTTGATCTACAGCGGAAAGAAGGCAGTCATTTTGTCATAGTTCGATTATTACTGTATCAACAACATTACCGAAAAGCCATCTCATAGATAGTTTGTTTGAAGACTGTACCTGAAATTTATTTCAATATTTAAATTGTTTATCAACAACACACAAACAGTCCCATTCTAATGAGCTTTGTTTTTATTGTTCATGAAATGGGTGGCGGTTTGGAATAATCAAATACAACAATAAATTGCACTAACACTCACAGTTTTAGTGACTTCACGTTTCTGACTTGTTCATGTACATGGTCATGCTATGAAATGATGGTGATAAAAGTGTTTCAAGTAAAATTGATTTCGTGAGAGCAAAATTTATTCTCAATTCTTACATCCACCGTCAACTCAGAACAAGTCTCGATCGGAAAGACCATTAAATTGATGTGTTCCGTTTTGAAAAAGAAAAAAAACAATAATAATATGGTTGATCATTTCTTATTTTCCTTTTTTTTTCTTTGATAAGCGAACCATTGACAAGCATTCAACTGTTTTCACGTCAACTGTGATTGCAGGAATCTTGAATTTCGCTTTCTCTATGCAATTCGCAGAATACTTCTCCGCTCATATGATTGTTCGCAATATAAATACGCGCCAAACACAGTTCAGCTATCAAATACGTTACATTTCACATTCAAACAAAGAGCTAAGCTACGTTTCAAGTAAAATAAATCAAAATGATTTTCAATCCAAAATTCATTTTTGCACTATTTGTGCTACTTTTGTGTCTGGTTCCACTCAACAAAGTTTCTGGAAAATCACATGCAGCAGAGCATATCCCGTTGGTGATACAACTGAGAGCGTCACATTGAGAGGTCCGTTTGCTGCACCGATATCCGTATAGAATGCCATAGATCTTTTGTACATTTTGTAATTGTAAATTGATTGAAATGGAATTGAAATAGAAATAACTTGTTTTCCAATCTTCAAAAAGATGATTTTTTTCTTTTGAACTTTTTTCGAATGTCAATTTGTTTACCGACTCATTGCTTGGGATTAAACACGGAATTGTATCGTCTCGTTTTCTCATAAGCTACGTGATAATGACATTCGTCATAAACGATGTAAGGGAGTTCCCCCTTGATTATGCTATCTTCGACTTGTTTACTGTCAAAAGGTTTACTTGAATGCGATAGCTAACGTGTGCATTGGGATGATTAAACGAAATTATTTGTCAAATGCGCGTCATATTCCAACATGACTTTGAAAAGTGAGTTGGTGTTGCTTGTGTTGATCGTTAGTTACAGCAGCTGTGCGTTGAACAGTAAAGCGTTTGACTGGCTTTTCGGCTCGGACACGGATTTCGGATTTATTGGGAATTCAAATGAACATTCAGACGAACATGATGGATATACGGATTTTGCTATGAGTAGAAGTCGACTGGCCGAGCCCTGTGCTGTGCAAGCAGGTTGTGACCATGGGCTTTGTTGGAGGAGATGTGGAAAAGATTTATTGCATACATATGGCCAAAAGTGTTATACAGTTGAATGGGAACCGGGCCGTTAGTTATATGGGAATAGAAAGTGTTGTCAAAATACGGATTGCAATAAATGCTTGCTTTGTGGGATTCCATGTAATAACAATCCGTACACGTGAATCATGCATTTTGCAAGGAAATATACAACTTTATTCATTTTTGATATAATCTAAGTTCAACAAATATTCAGTGTCTTAATTCAATGGGAAAATGAACAAAATAAACAAAAATCAAATAAAAGTTTTATGTTTATTTTAATTGCAACATCTTATGTTCATCGTTAATTACTTTGTCAATTGATGTGACATTTTATATGTTCAAGATTATCTGCTTGTTAGTTGCAATTGACTGTTGGTATTTGTGTGTATATATTCCTTCTAGGAAAAATTTCATGACTAACATGACAAAAAAATGAAATATACAATTCAGAAGGCAACTTTCATTCCATATTCGCACATTATATACATCTACAGCTGCTTAAAATGAGCCTTTAAATTCGTATTGATTCCTTTGATTTCCACCTATATATCACATAGAATCATGTGACGAGAAATAGTATTAAAGTGCAATACCTGTACTCATCTTCTGTATATATTGCACGGGATCCCACGGTTTAAAGTGCCTCCTGGAGCTCTCCACAGGCCTCCATGTCGGTCTTACTCCTTCAATTCATAATCCCATTGATAAAACCAATGATATTTTGAAGGGAAAAGATTTTCGACCACTATGCGATTCGAACCTGTGTCCCCACGCTTATAACGCTAGCACGCTAACCAATAAGCTATAGCTGGGTTTGCCAGTAATTGCAATGAGCTGGGTACGAAGAGTGTCGATCGAAAGAATAGAGCGAAACATATAAATGCATGCATCGCGCAGCTCGTCATGTGAAGAGTATAACGAAACAACAGCGACTCTGTGTGTGCAGAATCGCTATTTTGTATTTATGCGTTTCGCTTAACACAACGCGCGAAAAATATTAGATATTTTTGGACTCTGAACATTGAACGCGTTGAACGTTGAACGCAATACGTGAGAAATATCTGTTATTTTTATGCGATATTATTATCCCATATGAATAACAAATATCCCATTAATAATCTCTGTTTGCAAGTTAACAAATCTATTTATATAATTGATTATTCAGACAAGTTTTTTCTTCACAAATTTCCAACAGAACAAAAGCAGATTCCATGAAGTGATTAATAAATGAAATCGGTCATAAATTGATAAAATCGTTATGATTAGAGAAATACAGAGTGTGAATCATGGGCATATACCTAAAATGAAACCATTTTCTGTTGACGCTTTGCATTGTCAACGAATTTCATGTTTGTGTTCATGACTTTTGATAAATCTTCAAATTCAATGATTAATTAAAAAAGAAAATAAGAAAAGAACAATACAAAATTGAAATTCAGTGTATTTTGAAGAAAAAACAAGATTGAGTAACGTTTCACCACCAAAAAATTAATTGCTTTTGGTGGAATAGCAAGACTTAGTGTCAGATATAATTTGTATGCAATCCGAATGAATGGAAACAGATAAAATCATACTATTTAATTCTTACTGATTATCAGTGAGGCGAGTTGGTGTAGAATAAAAGAACCTGTGATTTGAGTTCGAATAAAGTTATTTAGTTGCGATGGAAATAATCGAATTGCTTTTTTTATTCATAAAATCGTTTTCTCCGCTTCACTTTATTAGAATTTGCACCAAAATTAAACTTCATTTATGGCTGTAGTCTCAAATTAAAGAACTTTGACATCCTGGCAAAGTTGGATCTCTCGAACAGTATTTCACGCCCTTCTTACCATAGCCGAACTTGTGACATTTATACATGTGGTTGAGTTTCTTCATGTCTTCTTTAGTCATGCCCTTGCGATTACCAATAAGTTTTTGCTTGCTTGGATCCTTGAAAAAATATCAACACATGAATACAATTTCAACAAAATAAATTTAATTAAACTGTAATGTACTTTAGCTTTTATAGTCATTTTGCCATTTTTCGAGAATGCATCTGATCCATAATGCATTATGCTAGCATAATCATATTTGCCACCCATGTGTGATATTACGTCGTCTCCATACTTTTGAAATTGATTATGCATTTCTTTTGAAATGTTTTCCCATAAGATCTTAATATATTTATCCCGATCAAATGAACTTTGCATGTGTAAGAACCCAAGAGCTGAATCGTTAAATAATCAATACAGTACATAGTTACAACCAAAAAAATGAAAAATAAGAAACAATCATTCTCACCATGCATTATTTCGTGAACAGCAGTCCCGTGATATTCGCAACCCCGTCCCAAATTCAATGGTTGTTTTTGGCGTGTATATCCTACCAAAGAATAACAGCCCTCCTCGGTTGCCTATAACAAACGGTAATACGGTTATTCAAATATTCTAAGTTTTATTTGCATCAAATTGAGTATAAAAACGATGATGAATTTTACCTGAAAATGGACATAGTGTTTTTCATTGGTACGCTTTTTGAATTTAATACACGACCCCTTCGATATCTCCGACATTGCATCTTGGATTAACTTTTCTTGGCCTCTCAATTCTCTACCAATATCATAAATGAGAGTATTCTTAGGCCACCGTGATCGTGAATCAATTAATCCATTTCCTAACGAATGTCTTAAATGACGTTTTTGGTTTTTCGTTAACACAATGTCTCCCTGGAACCATTTTCCATATTCAGGATCTAAAATAGACAAAAAAAATAAATAAAAATTCAACGGATTTCTATAATTTTTGGCTTTTTATATTGTGACTTTGATCACTTTCCTTTCTCGGCAGCATTTACTTCAGAATGTAGAAATAATGCCAACGAAAGGATCACACAGAACGTTAACACCACCGAATTCATATTGCTGACAACGACAAACAATATGCAAATGTGCGTATGTGATTTACAAATGTATTTGGAACTAGATGTTATGCGTCTCAAGTCCACGTTGATACTAAAGACCAGTGGCTGTAACGCGTCTATTTATACAAAAATGAGAATAAGCATAATTCTGAACAGTCGGATTACGAGTTCTATTCACAGAATAATGCCATTGTTATCGAATTTCGTTTTTATCGAGTTGGGTTTTCCACTTATAACCCTTTTTTATAATTAAATATAGTTATTAATTACAGTCATCGCATTTTTTCTATGAACAAATTCGATTTTTCTTAAAAATTCCATTAGGTCGAGCTTTAAGAGTTATTCATATTAGATAGAAACGATTGTGGGGTGCTTTCTTGCAGTATTTGCACGAGCGAGAACATTCTTATCTCTTAGCGATTTCTGCAGCTATAGTTATCGTAACTCCTTGAAAATTAAAAAAAAAAACATGAACCACGGATCTTTAATACACTAATTGTTTTAACATCGCATTTTTAATGATTCAACATGAATGTAGTTATTCTGGAAAAACCTGTTTTGATTAAGTGATTACTTTTATAATAAAATTAGTCAAGAACAATTGATTTTTCAGCATTCTAACGACTTTAAAAAAAAATGTATCTGAACTCAAAATGTAAATGAAATTGTGATCAAATCACATGTCCTTCTTTGCAGCAACAATGTAAAGAATGGATTGTATATTTGCTGAATTTGGACTTTTTCGAGAGAAAAAAATGTCCATTTGAATACAAGGCGTGCTCTTTTTCGATTCTTCAGAAATCAAACCTTTCCTCCTAACTATTTCATTTGCTTGAATCATTAATCTTCATCATAAAGGACAATAAAAGCCGAATATTCCACATTGATATGCGCTTCAAACATTTTAGACAGCAATGGACTGTGAGGAACAACCCATCTGTTGTCAATTGTTACGTTAACACCTTTTACATTAATAATTAATGTATGACTACCATCGTCAGGTTTTCTCCTCCTATAGAGCGGATAACCATCACTACCTGTTTGAGTTTCTTGGACTAATTCCCGAGGATATCTTTTCGTGCACTTTCCATCGCGCATACACGGTGATTTTGGATTACTTTTTCCAAATGGACCATGTATCATGTGCTTTTTGATATTTTCGTACATGTTCGTCGAATTTTGAGGTTATATCACCATTAGCTGAAACTAATCGGATATTTTCCACTTTTTTTGATTCAAACTCACTGCCAGAGATGCATGTTGTTTGGATGCTAGTATTTGAGAATCTGATGCCAATTGGCTCCATGGAAGTTCAACATCGGCCAATTCAAGCATTGATTAAAATAATGATTCCATGTCATCGCCTTCAGTTGGAGATGCGCCCATATGCACTTGAATCGATCGAAACCATCTCGACCCATTATTGGGTGGGTTGTGCAATGCTCTTTCGTTGCATGTATTGAAATCTATGGAAAACCATTTTTTATCATTTGGAAAAGCTCTTATGAAATGCATATTACAAATAATTGGCCCCCTTGATCAGAATATTGCCTGGTTTGATATCTTCATGAATTAATCCGTTGCTATGGATATATTTCAGCATACGAATCTGGAATCACAAGTTCACCACATAATATTAATTTGATATATTTCGATAAATTTTCTGAAAATAATCACCGTATCTCTGAAGATAAATAAAATCGTCTCTTTCGAAAATGGTCCGATTTTGTTGTATTGGGACTGAAGATCAGTGTCAAACATTGTCATCGCCATCATTTTGTAATTGAGAATCACATCAGTGTGATAAATGAATGGGATCCCATATTTTATGCACTTTTTGTCCGTCATCGCACTCCATCGTTCGTAGCACTTTAACTCTTGTTGGTAGAGCACATTCGTATTGTTCATAATTTTTATTGCAACTGGAGTGTTATCTTCAAATTTTCTCAAAACAGTCCAATTCGATTGATGTTTAAGTGAATAATTTATGTCCAAAGATGAAATTTAGCTACGAACCAGATACAAAACACCATTCTTGCCAGATCCCAAAAAAACAACGGATGTCAAAGTGATATTACCACCCATTGCACCTTCAATTCCAACCCGATGAATAGTTCATTTTTCATCTCTTCTGAGATCAATTCAATTGCGCGAGGTGTTAATGAAAGCGAATTTATTTTTTGCTCAGTCAAACCAATCTTTCAATGAGTTGAATAAAATATTATTATGAAAAAATATTTGTTTAATCTAAATATATGGCTTCGGAAAAATATGAACAACTATGGAAAAATCCATAAATTTCGTGTCAGATTTACCACAAGTGTTAGACAATATAAGGCAATTAGAGTTCGATGTATGTTCTTTATTTGCGCCATTGGATCCAATGTCTCATATACCATCGCCGCTACCACTGAACATTCGTGTTAACACGTAACGAAGATTTGCATCAGCTAATTTTTTCATGCGATTTTTTTGTTCGAGCATCTTAAATTTGGTT